GTTACACGTTTCCTCCGCGGTGCGCTGAGGCTGAGGCCTCCGGTATCTCCGGTATCCGGTATCCGGATCTTGTGTCCCCACGTGGGACCTGGCGGTGGTGCTAGAGGCTCTCTGTAGGCCTCCCTTCGAGCCTATTGAGGAGATATCTGATCGCCTCCTTACTATAAAAACTACCTTCCTTCTGGCGATATCTTCCCTCAAGAGAGTTGGGGATCTGCAGGCCCTTTCAGTGGCCCTGTCTTATCTTGACTTTGCGCCCGGTCTGGCCAAAGCGTTTCTGTTCCCGCGAGCGGGATATGTTCCTAAGGTCCCCTCCTCTACACCGCGGCCTGTCGTACTCCAGGCCTTCAGTCCTCCTCCCTTTGGGGATCCAGACCAGCAGAGGCTAAACTGTATGTGTCCGGTGCGAGCACTGGATGCATACGTCCACAGAGCTGCCCTGTGGAGGAGGGCGGACCAGTTGCTTGTTTGCTACGGTCCCCCTAAGAGAGATCTTCCAGCAACTAAACAGACCCTCAGTCGGTGGACAGTGGATGCCATCTCCATGTCCTATGAGTCCTCTGATCTCCCTTCACCTCTTGGGGTCAAGGCTCACGAGAAGTGTGGCGGCCTCTAAGGCCTTCTTGGCAGGTGTCTCTTCCGACGCAGCTCGAGTTCCTGAAGAGGAACGTCTCAGGTTACGTATGTAACCATAGTTCCTCGAAGGAACGAGATGCTGCTCTCAGAGCCATACTTTCGTCATCTCTGCCAGTGCTTGCTTCATTCCTGGAAGCTGACGCTGGTCTCACCGCACGTGCTTTTATAGCCTCCTGGTCATTACGTCACCCGCCCGTGACGTCTCACCCATCTATTGGTCTGATTACACACAAGGTTCAGAGCCGGTCACGCTGAAGGGCGTTCCCCTAGCGTTTTCTGACGCAGCGTCTCGTTCCTTCGAGGAACTATGGTTACATACGTAACCTGAGACGTTTTGTAGTTGGATCTAAAAGTGAAGATGAGTCTTCATTTTCTCCCGACATCAGAGCCACTGAGGACGCAGTGGATTACTTTTGTTTTTGATGGTAACGCGCCACCAAGTACACAAAAAAAATGGAAGAGAGGGGTGGCTCATTATCATTTAAAGAGACATGCACTGAAACGGGTCACTGTGAACAGAGCTGTTTTTGACAAGGTAAAAAGGGTGTTGTTTCACACGACCATTGAGGAATTTTAACCAAAGTATGTTGCAGACATACATACTGACATATATTCATGAAAACCCTAAAGAATCATACCAACTTGTGGAAAATGGGCATCCGATGTCCCCTTTAAATTAGTTTATCATTTACTCCTCATGTGGTTCCAAACCTGTATGACTTTTTTTCTTCTGTGAAACACTAAAGAAGATATTTTGAAGATGTTTCTGTCAAACACCAGCCAAAAGTTTGGAATAATTAAGACTTTTTTTATGTTTTTGAAATAAGTCTCTTATGCTCACCAAGGCTACATTTATTTTGATCAAAAATCCAGTAAAAAGACTAACATTGAGAAATAATATTACAATTTTAGAGAACTGTTTTATTTTTAATACATTTTAAAGTATGATTTATTTCTACGAAGACATTACTAAAGTCTTGAGTGTCACATGATCCTTCAGAAATATGCTTTGGACCTCACTGACTTTTATTGCATGAAAAAAAAAGCTGATGTTCAATTCAATTCAAATTTATTTGTATAGCACTTTTCACAATACACATTGTTTTAAAGCAGCTTTACAGAAAATGCATGTGTCTAAATTAATATACATATCATTTATATAATTTCATATCATTTAGTTATATAATTTCATATACATAATTTGATTTAATAATAACCCAATTTGAAGCAAAAACAGAATGTTCTGACTAGCTTTGTGAAATTATACTACATGCCTGAACGAAACAAACAGCAGAAGCTCTGAATGAGATGCAGATTCACTCTCTGACAGCGGGAGGCGTTTCTGGAACACCACTTATGGCGTTTTCTTGGTTACCGCTGTAAACCAAGCAGCACTGCGCTGAAACACTGCTTTAATATGAACTATACAGAGACGAGATTAAAAGAAAATACCACGTAAACTTTTCTGAAGACAGTCAGTTCCCCTCAGAAACACATTCATATAAACCCCCAAATCAATATTGAGGATTTTCTTCCAATAGTTTGTGCGTCATGAACAGTGAGTGATCTGCCTGCTACAGTATTTTTCTCTGTGCGTCCGTCTTCAACATCTCTGGCCTGTGTTAACGGGCGTTTACAGACTTCATATTTTCACATAAATGACATTTGAAAAATGATATGCATTGCAACGCAGTTTGTGCAAGTCCAGAACAGAGACGAGTTGCTTTACAGACTTCATATTTTCACATAAATGACATTTTGGAAAACAATTGCATTGCAACGCAGTTTGTGCAAGTCTAGAACAGAGACGAGTTGCTTGCAATAAGATAAAAAACGGCTGGTTGCGGACAGCTCCTTAAAGGTGCAGTGTGTAAATTTTAGCGGCATCTAGCGGTGAGGTTGCGAATTGCAACCAATGGCTCAGTCCCCCGCTCACCCCTACCTTTAGAGAAGCTACGGTGGCCGCTACAGGACTAAGATGTC